GGCATGTTCACAGGGTTCTGGGATTGAGTTCCGCATTGGGCTTCTTGCAGGGAGCCTGCTTCTCCCTCTGCCTATGTCTCTGTGTCTCTCATAAATTTTTTTTTAAGATTCTATTTATTTATTCATGAGAGACACAGAGAGAGAGAGAGAGAGAGAGGCAGAGACACAAGCAGAGGGAAAAGCAGGCTCCACGCAGGGATCCCGATGTGGGACTCGATCCTGAGTCTCCAGGATCATGCCCCGGGCTGAAGGTCGCGCTAAACCGCTGAGCCACCGGGCTGCCCTGTGTCTCTCATAAATAAATAAAATCTTCAAAAACAAATACAAAAGATTTAAAAAGATATCAAGTACCCAAACAGCTGCCACAGCAGGGGTGAATCCACTCACCACAATCCTCCTCGGGCTACTTTCAGAATCATATCAGCTCTGTACTGGAAATTTCTTCCCTAACCTGAAAGTCCCCTTCCCTCTGGCCCCCATTCTCCTCCAAGCTTAGAACCATCTGGGCTCTCCTGGGGGGAAGCTGAGAAGCACCTTTGCTCCCCAAGCCCCCACCCTATCCTCATACACACAAAGTTAATAATAGCTACCAATATTTCACACCCTCAGAAGGCATCACTCATTCGAGCTGAGTTGGTGGCTAATGGAGAGGTTACCAAACTGGCTCCAGGTTTGAAACAATCATTCCGGAGCCTGCTGAGGCCCTAGTCCCTGTCCTGACCTTTGCTTTGTACCCAGAGAGCTGTTTCAACCTTGGCCCTTGCATTTGCAGCTTATACTCTTGTTGGACAAAACATTCAATCTTCTGTCCCTTGGGCACCAGTGATCCAGGCAGACTATGTACAGGGCCTTGGGTGATTGCTGGAGGGACAAAGTTGCACAGTCTCTGTCCCCACAGAACTTACAGCAAGAACAAAGATGGAGAGAAGCCATGGAAGGGGAGCATCCATGATGCTCTGGAAGGGGTGAGGAGGTCAGGGAAATTTCCTGTTCTTTTTTTTTTTTAAGATTTTATTTATTATTTATTCATGATAGACATAGAGAGAGAGAGGCAGGCAGAGGGAGAAGCAGGCTCCATGAGGAGAGCCCGATGCGGGACTCGATCCCGGGACTCCAGGATCATGCCCCAGGGGCCAAAGGCAGGCGCTGAACCGCTGAGCCACCCAGGGATCCCCAAATTTCCTGTTCTTTACTAAGAATCATTGTTGCCAATGTTGGTGCTGTCTCTTGGCTTCCCCAGATACCTCTGTACTGTTTTTCAATACCCCCTGGCCTCAGTGAACTTTTGTTGCCAATACCAGTACCTGTCTGTTTTTTAGAGGGCTTGCCTTAGGGCTCCTGGAGCAGCTTTCTGGAGATCTGCAAATGGCTGGAAATGAAAAGTGCTGATAGGGTATGGGGGGTGGGGCACTGGCTTCGGGTGCTACACTTAAATCAAGCATTTTACAGTTCTACGAGGAAGACTGACCATAAGAAAACAGCCTGACAAGTATAATGACTGGCATGCTTGGAACACAAAGAAGGCCTTAATCTGAGAGGCCTCCTCAAGGAGATAGTCCTATGCATAAACTGAGTCTTACAAAGGCAGCAAAGTGTTGGCCTACCTAGAAGGCAGGGGAGGCAAGAGCCCCTGAGGCTTTGACAGCTGGACTGCTTCAGGAGTTTTCTAGTCATCCAGGGTGGCTGGAGCACAGCAGGCATGTGAAGAGGAACCAGGATGAGTCAGGGAAAAGAAGTGGTGCTAGATCACACAGAGCCTGAAGGAGGTTTCTACTTCCTATGAAAGGACTGGGGAGACTTGCTAGGGTTTTATTGCTAAGATTCTAAGCACAGGAATGTTATGAATCTGATACACTTTCTAGAGAAATCATTATGGCTGCAAAGCAGAGAATGGATTCGAGGGACAGGACTGAGGGCAGGGTCAGGGAGCCCTGTAGAGAAATGATAAAGGCTGAACACAGGGAAGTGGTCATGGGGAAAGAGAAGGTGACAGGATTAAGAGATAAAGCATGGACAGGCTTAGTGGCTAACAGGATGAGGAGCCCTAGGCAGGCATCTATGCCAACCATTCTCATCCAGACTTTTAAGCATACCTCTCAACTTTCTACCATACTTGGAAGGATTGTTTATTTGGAGCCAGGATTCAGCAAAAAGATCTTAGTAGTTTCTACTACAGCAAGATCACAACCATAACCTGCAAGTGGGCAATGGAGATGCAAGTACCAAACCTGTTATTACACTGAGAGCATTCCATGCCCAAAGTCAAAGGGCCCAAGTCTTGATTTAAATCAACTTTCAGGGACTCCTGGGGGGCTCAATGGTTGAGCGTCCGCCTTTGGCTCAGGGCATGATCCCGGGATCTGGGATCGAGTCTCACATCGGGGTCCCTACTTGGAGCCTGCTTCTCCCTCTCCCTATGTCTCTAGCTTCTCTTTGTGTCTCTCATGAATAAAAACAATTTTTAAAATAAATAAATAAATCAACTTTCAGCAAGAAGATTCACCACAACATATTTGCCAAGGCACTCAAAATGTTAGATTACTAGCAGGTTAAATAAAGGCAGTCTTTCCAACTGGAGCTCCCTGTATCATAAAAAAAACAAAGAAAACAAAACCAAAAAAAATACCTTAGTTTTACTGAGGTGTAACTGACATGCTAGTTTCAGGTGTACAACATGGTTCAGTATTTGCATATATTGAGAAATGATCACCACAATATGTCTAATCAACATCCATCACCAGACATAATTAGAATTTTTTTCTTGGGATCCCTGGGTGGCGTGGCGGTTTGGCGCCTGCCTTTGGCCCAGGGCGTGATCCTGGAGACCTGGGATCAAATCCCACGTCAGGCTCCCGGTGCATGGAGCCTGCTTCTCCCTCTGCCTGTGTCTCTGCCTCTCTCTCTCTCTCTCTCTGTGACTATCATAAATAAAAATTTAAAAAAAAAAGAATTTTTTCTTGTGATGGGAACTTTTAAGACCTACTTTGTTAACAACTTTCAAATATACAGCACAGTATTATTAAGTATAATCCCCGTGTTGTACACTACATCCCTAGAACTTATTCATTTTGTAACTGGGTTTGTACCTCTTGACCCCCCTCACTCATTTCACACACCACCATTCCCTACCTCTGGCAACCACCAATCTGTACTATGAATTTCGCGGTATTGTTTGTTTTAAAGATTTTATTTTTAAGTAATATCTACACCCAACATGGGGCTTGAACTCACAACTCTGAGATGGAGAGTCACATGCTCTTCTGACCAAGCCAGCCAGGCGCCCCTGGAGTTTTTGTTTTTAGATTATATGCACAAGTGAGATCATATGGTGTTTGTCTTTCTCAGAGTTATTTCACTTAGCATCATGCCCCTGAGGTCCTGAGGTCCATCCATGTTGTTACAAATGACAAGATTTAATTCTTGTTTATGGTCAAATGATACTCTATTGTGTGTGTGTGTAGGTATATATGTGTGCGTATGTACGATATATATACACATCACATCTTTATCCATTCATCCATCAGTGGACACTTATGTTGCTTCCATATCTTGCCTATTGTAAATGATGTTGCAATGAACATGGGGCCAAAGATATCTTTTTGAATTAGTGTTTTTACCTTCTTCAGATAAATACCCAGAAGTAGGATTACTGGATCACACAATACTTCTATTTTAAATTTTTTGAGGCTCCTGCATACTGTTTTACACAGTGGGCACACCAGTTTGCATTCCCACCAACACTGCCTGAGGGTTACCTTTACTCTGATTCTCATGCTATATCGTTTTGAGATCCTTTTTCTACTTTAACTTTTTTTTTTTTTTGATCCTGAAGCCTTGCCTGAAGTACACTGTTTTGGTTGCTGTTGCTCTTATTTTTTCCTACCATGTGCTAAAATAACCCTTATCTCATAAAGGTGAGGGAGAAGTGAAGATGGTTGTCCTACAAAGTGTTTTTGTCTCTCCAATTACAATAGAGTCTCTAATAAACTCTGATATATTGTTAAGATCAAGGCCTCAAAAAAAAAATGCTACCCTGGACCTTGGAGGTACCCTTTCTATTTATATTCCATTGGCCAAAACTTGATCATATAATTATATGGCTGTATCTAACTGTAAGGAAAGTTGAGAAATGTTATTTTGATTTAGGTGGCCATGTATCTGGCAGAGAAATGAGCCATTCATAGAGGACAAAACAGAGAAGGGATGCCCTGGAGCAAGTGGAAGTCTCGGCTATCTCATTTCACCATTGCTGCCTAACAAAAACATCCCCAAATTCAGGAGCCTGAAACAGCTATCGTTTTATTTCTCACAACTCTATGGGTCAAGAATTTGGGGCAAGGGGAGGTGTGGTGGGTGTATGAATCATCTCTGCTCCACATGGTGTTGGCTAAGGCTAAAGAACCCAAATATCCACACAGATGACTTACAGTGGTTCAAATTAGCTGGGGGATCAAGAGGATGTTTGGACCTCTGTCTCCTCACGATGTCGGCAAGATTCACTAATGTGTCTGGGGGGTTTGGTTCTCCTCAAAGTGGTCTCTCTCTGCCGCAGGATAGGTTGGGCTTCCTTACATGGTAGCTGGAAATTCCCTCTAACAAAACTGGGAGACGCAAGGCCTCCTGAGTCTGAGACTGAGACCCCTCCCCCGCACCCATGTCACCAAGGCCAGCTTAGACTTAAAGAGTAGAAAAATAATTCTACCTCTTGATAAAAGGGACACCGCAAAGACACTTTGCGCTGCGCTGTGAACAGTGGGAGCCACGTTTCAGCCAGAACCATCTTTCGGAATCGATCGCCTTCCAGAGCAGATGACCACTGGGACACCGTACACAGGCTCACGTCACACGCACGTGCGTCCTGATGCAATACGTCGCAGAAGCCCCGCCTTTGCACCGCGACTTCTGGACGCCACAATCACCATGTCTTAGTGATGAAGAAGTGCAGCTGTGGAGCACAAGTCCCAGGGTAGTCTGGTTTAGCCCTTGGGGCGGCTACCGCTATGCCGTCGGTGCCGCTGAAAGTGGCGGTGGTGTGCTCCAGCAACCAGAACAGAAGCATGGAGGCACACAACATCCTCAACAAGCGGGGATTCAGCGTCCGGTCTTTTGGAACAGGGACCCATGTGAAGCTCCCGGGGCCAGCGCCTGACAAACCAAATGTTTACGATTTCAAGACCACGTATGACCAGATGTACAATGACCTCCTTCGGAAAGACAAAGATCTCTACACACAGAACGGCATATTACATATGCTAGACAGAAACAGGAGGATCAAGCCTCACCCAGAAAGGTTCCAGAGCTGCAGAGATGTATTTGATCTGATTGTTACCTGTGAAGAGAGAGTGTACGATCAGGTGGTGGAAGATCTGACTTTCAGAGAGCAGGAGACCTGCCAGCCAGTGCATGTGATCAACGTTGACATCCAAGACAACCTTGAAGAGGCCACTCTGGGAGCGTTCCTCATCTGTGAGCTATGCCAGTGCATCCAGCACACCGAGGATATGGAGAATGATATCGATGAACTGCTACAGGAGTTCGAGGAAAAGAGCGGCAGAGCCTTTCTGCACACTGTCTGCTTCTACTGATGAGCCCGGACTGGCGTTGGGCGCCCAGCCCACACTCAAGAAGCCGGCTTTTCCCTCTCTTATATTCCCAACTTCCTTGTGCTCGTTTTTCTTTTAATTGTCTGCTAGTGAGTACTAGCACCCAATAAATTAGATGTATGAAATGAGCAGATACCAAAGCACCAGATTAAGAAGTCAAGTTTTTTTTTCTCTCCCAGTTTTAGTTGTGAGTGGGCATTGACTGTTATTTACCTTTAACCCCCAAAAAAGTAAACGGTGCTTTATAGTACATCTGTCCCATACATCTGCGGTTTTCGTTGTGATTTCTTCCCCTCCGCCCCCCCTCCCCCACAACTTTCTTGCACGTGCAAGTACCGTGGATAAAGCATTGGCCTTTATCTCATTAAAAAGGAGCCTACAATTGTCTAATTAAATATATGCTGTCGGTAAAAAAAGGGGGGGAGGGGAAGGATCAGACGAGGGTGGAGGGGACGGTGGGCGAGTGGGAGTGGCAGAATGCGCAGGGGGAGGCAGTGAGGGTGGGGGGAAGGCAAGAGTTGGCCTAGGAGGTAGGGGGCAGCTGCTGGGGTGGGGGGAGGGCGGGCATGGGACAAGGGGGGGATAGGGCACGGGGAGGGGTGCAGTAGGGGAGGGGGTGTAGGGCAGGGGGCATGTGGAAGGGGCAGAGGATAGGGTGGTAAAGCAGGGGATATGAGGCAGCCGGGTAGGGGGTGTTAAAAATCTACCACATGTGCATTGAGGGTATATTAGTCTAGTTGGGTGGCAGTAAGAAAATAGTACAGAATGGGGGTGCTTACACAACAGGAATTTATTTTCTCATAGTTGTGGGGGCTGGAAGTCCCAAATCAAGATGCTGGCAGCGTTCTTTCCCCTGAGGCCCCTCTGACTTGCAGATGGCCACCCTCTCAGGCGTCCACACTTGGCCTCTCCTCTTGTGATATAATAAGAAATATATATTTTATATATATTTATATAATAAGTTTATGACATAAGTATAATATAATAAGTATAATATATATAATAATAAGTATAGTATAATATAATAAGTTTATAATAAGAAATATATATTTGATCTCCATCACCATTTCTGATACAGAGCTCCTAAAACTATTGGAATTTCCTAAGTCATGAGTGCCATAATGGTGTGGGTTTTTATGTTAATGAGGTACCTTGGGACTCCATTTAAGGGTAGGGGCTAGTTGCCAGGGCACCTGATTATGTGATTGGAGGGTTGGAACTTTCTGTTTCCCTTCAGCCCCAACCACTGTAGGGGGAGAGGGTTGGAGGCTCAATCAATTGTGAATGGCCTCAAATTTAATCAACCTTGCTTATGTAATGAAGCCTCCATAAAAACCCAAACAGACAAGGTTTGGAGAGCTTCCAGGTTGGTGAATCAGAATACATCACCTGCCACTGTTTGGGCCTCAAACTCCACAAGGGCAGAAGCTCCTTTGTTTGGGATCTCATCTGGGTGTTGATTTGCATACTTAGTATCCTTTGTAATGAACCAGCAATCTAGTAAGTAAAATGTCTGAAGTCTGTGAGCTGCTCTAGCAAAGTAATTGAACCCAAGGAGGGGATGTTGGAACCTCCAACCTACGGCCACCTGGCCAGAAGTGTAGGTGACACCTGGGCTTGTGAGCAGCATCTGAAGTTGGGTGGGAGCAGTTTGGGGGGACTTAACCTCATGGGTTAACCCTATGGGATCTGATGCTGTCTCCAAATAGTGTCAGAATAAAGTTGAACTGTAGGACACCTAGCTGGTGTCCAAGAATTGCTTGGTAGTATGGAGGAAATCCCATACACTGTCATTGGTAACCAGAATCCTTACCTCCATGCTTAGGGATCCTTTGTGTCTCTTCCTCTTAGAAGAACACCAGTCAGGGAAGACCAGGTAGCTCAGCGGTTTAATGCCGACTTTGGCCCAGGGCGTGACCTTGGAGACCTGGGATGGAGTCTCACATTGGGCTCCCTGCGAGGAGCCTGCTTCTCCCTCTGCCTGTGTCTCTGTCTCTCTCTCGCTCTCTGTGTCTCTCATGAATAAATGAATAAAATCTTAAAAAAAAAAAAAAAGAACAACAGTAAGATTAGATTAAGTCTCCATCCTTTCATCTCATTTAAACTCAGTTACCTCTTTAAAGTCCCTATCTCCGGGATCCCTGTGTGGCCCAGCGGTTTAGCGCCTGCCTTTGGCCCAGGGAGGGATCCTGGAGACCCGGGATCGAATCCCAGCTCCCAGTGCTTGGAGCCTGCTTCTCCCTCTGCCTGTGTCTCTGCCTCTCTCTCTCTCTGTGTGTGACTATCATAAATAAATTTAAAAAAAAATTAAAGTCCCTATCTCCAAATACAGTCACATTGGGGGTTAGGGTTTCAACATATGAATTTTGGGAGGACACAATTCAGTTGATAATGAGGGTATATATTACATTTGATCAGTTATTTACACTACTTACCATGGCTTTTAGGTTAGTCTTAGGGAGATTGAGGATTCCCTCTTAAATTCCATCAAGTAAATACCAGTGCCTTGGTTTGGTTATATATGTACATTTCAAGGATCCAAAAGAAACCAAAAATTATTTTTTTTAAGATTTTTATTTATTTATTCATGAGACACACACACACACACACACAGAGGCAGAGACACAGGCAGAGGGAGAAGCAGGCTCCATGCAGGAATCCCAATGCAGGCCTCCATCCCGGGGTCTCCAGGATCACACCCTGGGCCAAAGGCAGGCACTAAACCGCTGAGCCGTCCAGGGATTCCCCCAGAAGCCAAGAATTAAACACATTCTTACATTTTTCCTAAAGAAGCACTTCTCTTAGAAAAAAAAAAAAAGTAGTAGTCTATTTAGGATGTAGAATGCTGGAAAGAGCATCCTTATTAATATCTGTTTTTTAAAAGATTTTATTATTTATTCATGAGACACACACACACACACACACACACACAGAGAGAGATTGAGAGGCAGAGACACAGGCAGAGGGAGAAGCAGGCTCCATGCAGGGCGCCTGACATGGGACTCGATCCTGAGTCTCCAGGATCATGCTGAAGGCAGCACTAAAACGCTGAGCCATCCGGCCTGCCCAAGAGCATCCTTATAACAACAAAAAAAAATCTAGATAATCTGAAAATCACAACTTTTCTTGAACTCATCAGAGCACTGAGATCACAGGGCACCCAAATGACCTGAACTCTAAAGAAAGACCAGTGACTCCAAGGTGAGATAAGAGTGAGCACTTGTTTGCCTGGGGCAGATGCCACCAGACACTGGAAAAGGTGGACAGGGTAGACAATGTGCAAGATCTGATGGGTAATTTCATAAGAGAGAATAAAACTATAAGAATCAAATGGAGGGATCCCTGGGTGGCGCAGCGGTTTGGCGCCTGCCTTTGGCCCAGGGCGTGATCCTAGTGACTCGGGATCGAATCCCATGTTGGGCTCCCGGTGCATGGAGCCTGTTTCTCCCTCTGCCTATGTCTCTGCCTATGTCTCTGCCTCTCTCTCTCTCTCTCTCTCTCTCTCTCTCTCTCTGTGTGTGTGTGTGTGACTATCATAAATAAATAAAAATTAAAAAAAAAGAATCAAATAGAAATGCTAGAAATGAAAAACACTGATGCGCTTTCAGTGGCTCATCAGGAGACCTGACACAGCTGAAAAAAAGAGTCAGCAAGTTTGAAGATAAATCAGGGGCACCTGGGTGGCACAATCAGTTAAGCATCCGACTCTTGATTTGGATTCAGGTCACAATCTCAGGGTTGTGGAATCAAGCCCTGAGTCAGGCTACACACACAGCATAAGAGTCTGCTTGAGAGGCTCTCTCTCCCTTTCCCTTTGTCCTCCCCCTCAACTCGCACTCACTCTCTGTCTCTCTCAAATGAATAAATAAATAATAAATAAATAAATATAAATGTGAAGATAAGTCAATGGAAATTACTCAAACACTAAGAGAAAACAAGAGTGGGGAGAAAACCAGAATAGACCATCAAAGAGCTGTAGGACATCAATCTAACATATATGTCATAGAATTCCTAAGAGAGAGAGAATGGGGAAGGAGAAGTATTTGAAGAAATAATGGCCATGAATTTCCCAAAATTAATGACAGAAACCAAACCACAGATCCAAGAAGTTCAGAAAATAGAAGAAAGATTAAAACACAAACAAACAAAATAGGCATAGCATATTTAAGCTGCTGGAAACTTAAGACAAAGAGAAAATCATAAAGGCAGCCAGAGAAAAAAGACTTATCATGTGCAGAACAAAGGTAGGAATTATGGCTGACTTCTCATCAGAAACTATGCAAGTCAGACGACAAAGTGACATCTTTAAAGTGCTTAAAAAAAAAACACCGAACGTGTTTACCCAAAATTTTATACCCAGTAAAAATATTTTAAAGATTTTATGTTTTTGAGAGAGTGAAAGAGAATGGGTGGGAGGGAGGGGCAGAGGGAGATGGAGAAGCAGACTTCCTGATGACCAGGGCTCGATCCTAGGACTCCAGGATCATGACCTGAGCCAAAGGTGGATGCTTAACCAACTGAGCCAGCCAGGTGCCCCTGCAGCAAAAATATTTTTTCAAAATGAGGCACCTAGCTGGCTCAGTCAGTAGAGCATCTGACTCTTGAGCTTGAGGTGATGAGTTCAAGCTCCACATTGGGTGTAGAGATCACTTAATATATATATATATATATATATATATATATATATATATTTTTTTTTTTTTTAAGTGAAAGAGAATTAGCAAAAGGATCTCTAAAAATTGTTTCAGGGCACCCTGGGCAGCTCAGCGGTTCAGCACTGCCTTCAGTCCAGGGTGTGATCCTGGAAACCCAGGATCCAGTCCCGCGTCAGGCTCTCTGCATGGAGCCTGCTTCTCCCTCTGCCTGTGTCTCTGCGTGTCTCTCATGAATAAATAAATAAAATCTTTTTTAAAAATCACTTCTCCCTCTGCCTGTGTCTCTGCGTGTCTCTCATGAATAAATAAATAAAATCTTTTTTAAAA